CCCACCTGTCAGGGTACAACCAGGTCTGGACTGTTTACTCATGACTGATGACACATCAACTCCAGACTGGCACTGCCTGATCACTATCCCTGGACTGACACAGACATGTAATATATTCCCTCTTGTAAAGTGGCCCCGCATTGCCAAGTACCCCAACCTTATCATTTCCTGAGTAGCAAGCAGGGAGGGTAACTTTCTTCTCTCATTTTCCCCTTGCTGCTCAGCTGGAATCTCCATCACAACCCGCTCTATTGGGTTCCCCCATTGAAACCGACTGTCACGACCCGGCAATTCCCACGGTCAGGTGACCACTCCCCACACTTTCTCCTACCTCCACTTCGACCCCATCAACTCCGCTGCCTGCCCAATGCCGCCTGGATGAGCCCATCACCCCTCCCCATCATTACTACCTTTTCCACAGCCTGTGATGGGCCTATGAGTCATTCCCTATTACTCTTGTTTTCTTGATGGCCGGGCATGGCCGTCCTTCTCCCACGTTCTTTGTTTGTTTTTATCCTTCTTAAAGCCGCCCGCAATCTCCATGAGATCTGGTGACTTATTCCTATTCATTCCATTATACTTAAATACCGGTTGTACACTATCTCGTACTTTAGTTCGAAAATCAACTAGGGTTACCCCCTGTGCTTCCTGTCTGGACTCAGTCGCACCCTCTGCACTCTGAAATATTGGGGCCGCGTCAAGTATGAGGCACAACACTCACAAACGAGTCATTGAAGCCAAAACCCTGCTTCGCTGCAATTGTCATCCCTGCCCTTAATGGGCTGTTATGCTGAAGCAGCGGACCTTAACGGTCACCAACGGCAAGTCACAGTAACATTTCCCATGCCCTGACACCGACCCTCTCCCTTTCAGTCTCAGCTCCAGCAAGAGCTCTGGATTCCTCAACTTAGAGACCGAGCAGCTTGGTACTCTGACACCACCCAGTAAGCACTACAGCAGAAGAAAGGAAAGAATAGGGCCACAACCCTGGGTACATCAGTGAGAAGTGAAGTAGCTGGGGATGTATCCACAACTCACTTGTATCAGGAGTGAACATGAGCCTTTTCAGGAGATATGTGTCAGGGCACACACCCTGACTAGCCCGGACCTGGACCCGCGTCCGGACCCGCTTCCACCCGCTGCGCTTCCCGCATGCTCCGGGCCCGGTTCCTACTCCTTCATGTGACTTCTGGGTATCCCCGGAAGTTTTCCTGATATGGTGGCCACTGTGGGAAGATGAGAAGTTAGCTTCCTTCTCATCTTCTTACTCACAGTAGGCAAGTGTACCTTACCTACTGTTTATCTATTCATCTTCTTACCCACAGTAGATTGTGCCCTGGATAGGGCTGGCCAGACCTGAGGCTGTGGGCCATAGGGGAGGGTCATGGGGACCCGGGAGTCATCCCCTGACAATATGATTGGTCAGTGAGCTTGAGAGGAGAAGTCAACAGCAAGAGGGGGAGAATGATGATGTTACATAAGCAGTGGACCCTAGGTTGGGAGTGTTGGAAATGCAACAATCGGCCCTGTCATCCAGCTGTCAATAATGTGATTATTGACAGTGGTGACTACCTGAGACAGTTCTAATATCATTGCAATTATTGAACGATATTTGGGGGTTCGACCCTCATTCTCTCTGTTATACCGTGTATAAAGAGAGCAAACATTATTTACTACTCCCCCTCCCTCAGATCTCTTATACAGGTCTGAGGTGAGGATTTCTTTACTACTTCTGAGTATCATTCTGAATGTATTGGTGCAGTCTAACATGCCATAGGTACAGTTTAATAACCTTAGATCTCTTATATGGGTCTGAGTCTAACACGCCATAGCGCATATATATATTTTAAAAGGGAGTGAGGTATGGGGCAGATAATGGACCTTGGGTTTGGAGGTCATACAGGACCCTGTGCATAGGACAATTGAGTTGGGGAGAAAAAAAATGTAGGACCCGCTACAGAGTAGTGGGAATTTATCGGCACATTTTAACACCTACTCCTGGAACAAGATTTTTGGTCTCTTGGCACTCATTAGTGTGGAAGATGGGGGAGGATTGGCCTTTTGGGCTCTTCAAGCTCTATGGTGTTGAAGTGGCATTCCGATGCCCTTTGTCACCACGGTTATTGTTCCCTTTTATGGGAGTTTCATTGCTTTAACGCTGTAGGCAGGCACAGCCGGTACTGCATAAACGAACCAAATATCGCGATTTCCCCATCCCTGCACATCCCCACTTCACGAAACACATCACACATGTCCTCATATACCATTTCTACTCTTCCATGATTTTTTCCTATTTTTCCAGACACATTCCCAGTCCTCACAGACCAAATTCCCACACCCACCCAGCAGCGCAGCCACACTCAGACTGGATTTCACTTATCTCAGCAACCACTGCACCAATTTGGACGATATTGGTACCATTGGAAACGCGTCATTTAGGAGTATTAGGATTCATGATTAGCGGGAGTTCATTGGTGATGGATAGAGTTGGATATTTTTTGGCTGGAAATCATTTATTGCTTTATTGTTTTCTTGATTATTGTTTTCCCTTCCTTTTTCCGATATTGTTTGTTGCCGATATGACCCACCTAAGCACATGGGACTCATCGGATATTTTCCTTCATTTTTATTTGATCATTTCTCATATATATCTGTACATGAGGATGTATCTACTTTTCCCTTGGGATTAGAAACCACTGAGTTTGCCCCTCCCAAGCTAGTAGGGAGTAGTACGATATAGAAGATGACTAAGAAGACCTCTAGATCAGTCCTCGCCTTAGTGTCACCCAGAGAGGTGGGGTGAGAGACTGACTGGAGTACACCACGCACCGTACCACACCGGACCATACCATATCACCATTACCATTACCCCTTTTTCCTGACCTGTTGGATACCAATCCAGTCCCCGTCTTTTCCTGTTTTCCTAGTGGGTTAGATCCCTAGCCCGCTTACAATGCTTTGGCCTTTGTTCCTTTGCACCACACAGAAATGTATATAAGTGTGCTCATCATGTACTTTACTTATGATTGTTATGGATATAGACTAGAATCTTATGGTCCATGGGTGGACCCAGGGCCTCCCCCCATTTTACTTCTCCATCAAACCCCATGCCAAGCTTTCCCACCGGGTTTTGGTGCTGGCTGGGGGATTTGTTGAGTTTCAAGGGACTTCCCTTGACCATTATAACTTTTATATTAGATAGTTAGAAGTCATATGATGTGTAAGGCAGATGCCGAAAATGTTTTCTCATTATCGAATACATAACCCACAAACCTTGTACCGTGATTGTAACATCCTCACCATTGTGCCACCACTGTAAACTCAACCTGTAACCCTGGAACCATGTCCACCTCCCTATTCATCCTCTCCATGACAAAGCCGCAACGAGGAGGGCATTCCCACGCCCAACCTCCTGCTTCCCACTCCCATCCAACCAGAAATTCCCTATCAGGAACTGTAACCTATCCCAACTCCTTAGGAGAGGGATATGGTCCAGGCAGCTCCAGGATGCCTGGCCACACACCTGCGGGTCCCACTTCCCACGGTCACCCACTACCGTGCACTGGTCCACCAGCCCACTTTCCCCAACAACTCCCGCTACCGGTATGCTCCTGTGAGCGCCAAGTCACCGATAGCCACCAACTGGGTGACTCCCTTTGGGAGTCCCAGTATCCTGCACTACCGGTACACTCCATTGAGCGCCAAGTCACCGCTAGCCAACCACTCCCGGCACACCCGCTACCGGCACGCTCCCAGGAGCACCAAGTCCCCGTTAGCAGACAGCCAGGTGGCTCCCTCAAGGAGCCCACATCATACTTGCTACCGGTACGCTCCCAGGAGCACCAAGTTACCATTGGCCAACCCACAGGTTGTACTTCCAGACACTCATCCCATTCCGCTCTCCCTCCGATGGCTACGCAGCCACCTCCATTAGTGAGCCGAACGGTTCAGATTGGGTTCCCCGGAACCCATTCCTGTAACAATGATAATACTGTGATATCGTACTCAGAGGATCGGGCTGCAATGCCGCGATTATAACATGTGGGATATCTCAGCTCCAGAGGCAGACTCCTTCCCAGTCGCTCACATGATTTCTCCGAGGTTTAGCTGCAACTTACGTTGCCCTCCGAAATCTGTCAAGCGACTGGTACAACTTGCAACACGTGATGTTCCCACGCTAAGTTGTAATGAGTTGTACATAGGTTATGGAATATAATTTTTAGTATTTACACATGTGGTCATTGCACCCAACCCAACCCGTGGAGACTAAGGGAGCACATCCAAGGTTGTGAAGTCAATATCCGGGGTGCGCAAAGTTTAATGGTTTATATACTACTTAGTTACCAGTCACTTGTTTGTGCCTGGTGGCATAAGTGGTATGGCGTTAGCTGAGGCTATGCAGTCCTTTTAAGTGGCACATGTTCAATTCTCACTTAGGAAACTTTTTTTTTTCATACCCTCCATTCCTTAGTGTACAGAAAACAACCATTTCAAACAATTATTCCATGGGAGGGCCCAAAAAAAGTTTGCCCAAGTGAGAATTGAACATGTGCCACTTAAAAAGACTGCATAGCCTCAGCTAACGCCATACCACTTATGCCACCGGGCACAAACAAGTGACTGGTAACTAAGTAATATATAAACTGTTAAACTTCGCGCACCCCGGATATTGACTTCACAACCTTGGATGTGCTCCCTTAGTCTCCACGGGTTGGGTTGGGTGCAATGACCGCATGTGTAAATACTAAAAATTATATTCCGTAACCTATGTACAACTCATTACAACTTAGCGTGGGAACATCACGTGTTGCAAGTTGTACCAGTCGCTCGACAGATTTCGGAGGGCAACGTAAGTTGCGGCTAAACCTCGGAGAAATCATGTGAGCGACTGGGAAGGAGTCTGCTCCAGAGGTCCCTCCGAGCTTCCTGACATGTCTGAGTGCCATGTAAATGACACATTCTGAAGAATGCAAAGACTAGATGCCTGCCAAGGAAAAGTGTGATGAGAGTGGGATTCGAACCCACGCCCGAAGACTGCGAGGCTATAACCAAAACCTGAACACAGCGCCTTAGACCACTCGGCCATCTCACCAACGTCACGAAGATTCATCCTGACCTCGGTCAACCCTTTTAGTTCCATCGCAAATGTCCATGGCTGTGCGTTCACACCCAACAACGTCTCGACACTCATATGGGTATTGTAGGGTAAGGACACTTCTTCGAAATAGGGATGGGCTCACAGAGACCGAGGATTGCAGGGTGGCACGATGGAAGAATGGTGGACAGGATGACTTTCAAGCACTCCTTGACAACATCATGAAAGGGTATATGGTGCGCGACGATCGTCTTCACCCGATGAAGCACACATGGACTTTTTTGCCTAGTGTAAACGGGAAGGGAAGTGGTCCATGACATTACATTCGTATCGTTCTGGTACTTTCCCCTCCCGAAGCATCTATACCGTTTCGACTTCAGCATACACATACGCTCTCCTCGAAGACGTTTCCATACCTCCTCCGAGTATCCAGCTTCCATTACCCCCCACACGTCAAGTCCCTGGAACGCCTCGACCTACTCGCACCCAATTCGTCACCATTCCCTCACCTGAGGCGCTCCCCACGTTACTTTCACAAATTTCGGGGAACTGGACTTCCTCGAGGCAAAATAACGCTGCTCACAGTGGGAGAGGCGTAGTGTTTGGCGTGGGGCCGCAAGTTTTGCTTGAGGGACATACGTACACCATTGCAGGTGACTGGGTTGTACGTGTTGGGAGCGTAACGCAAGGTCCTGGTGCTCCTGGGGGAGCCAGCGGTGCAGCAAGAGGTATAATCATTGAGGTGAGTACACCAAAATACCATGTACAATGGACAAAGAAAGATCTCATCCGCCGATAACGTAGGTAGAGTACCTTCCCCTGTCGAAACAACCGGCACCACAACCCGAGACCGGCAATGGGCCGCTCATTACTGAATTCCTTATGACGATCGTACCAAAAGCCTCTCAGCATCAGATCTTGGCTGTGGCCTTAAGCCCGCAACAGTGGGCCGAGATTCTCAAACCGGGAAGGGACGATGATGGGGGTCCAGTGGGGAAAGAAGAGGAGCAGGAGGCGGATAAGCAAGAGAACGAAGAGGGAGAGGAACTGGATGATGTCCTTTGGACGGGGGATGGAGAGGATGAAGCGGCGAAGGATGTTCATCCTACTCACGAAAGAGAACGACGATCGGCGTATCTCATCTTGAGATGTCTGCAAGGAGAGGGATTGCTGTAACCTATACGAATGTAAGTTCTTTTTGGTCCGGTTCAAGAGTGGGAGACAATAAGTACATGGACGAAGTTTATTGCTTCGCAGCACATCCTTTTTCTTGACCTAACCTTCTCAACATGTTCAACCAGATCCACCTGTCACCCCTCATTTCCATGTCATACCACCAATTCACAGCGATTACCACGCCTTTCCCACCCGCCTCTTCGCCCTCCTGCGCAACGGCATGCCACCATCCTATATACATATTGCATATGGCAATTATGACGTCGAGATCGCCGTTTGCTTCTCAATCGAAGCGAAAAAGACCCATGACGAAAGGACCTACCTGACGGGAGGTAGAGCGTTTCGCCCGCATGGACCCTTACGTGAACAGGCCTTGTTCCAGGTATTGGGGCGGTTGTGTCTGCTGAGGCCCAAAAGATCATGTTTTCTTCCACGCTGTTCATTGAATCTGAACATTCATCTGCGTCGCCCTCGATATCAACTTTGTTCGTTTCACTGGTCTGTCCCGTTTTCCTCGGATTTGGAGCTAGGGGAGTCAAAACTAGTGGACCGTCTGGCGAATGGCGGGTGTAGATTGCACGTGGGTAGAGGCGCTCGGATAATAGGTGGCCTTCCGTTGGAGGGAAGAGGGTGAAGTGTTTTGTTCCCCTGACGACGGTGTAGAGGTTTTCATACGGATCTTATCGGTTGGGTTTAAGGATGCTTCTGAATTGGAACGTCGAAGATGAGGGTTTGGAGTCACATACCAGAATGGACGCTTGTCTTACTCCGGTGATCGCCAATCCAGATGTTCACGGCGTCAGGGGGGTGTCCTTAAGGGATTATACATTGATTCCAGAGCCACGTGGACTCGCGAAAGCTAATGGAAAGCAACGAACGATCTCACACTCACCTAATGCCTGAGTCACCCACGGTACGTCCCTTGGCACGTCATCTTTCAAAGCCTCCATCTCCGATTTGGGTGATGCGGGATTTTGGGGATCATAGAGATTGCCGTTTTGAGATTGAAGATAACACACCTCGCTTGTGGAAGCACTTTGGGAAATCGCCGCGTCTGATTGGTCAGGGTCGCCCGAACCATGGGTGTACATTGACATTCTGGGAGCTGGATGTGGATCGACCTTCAGGTTAGCCGAGGAGGGATCTGGCGCCGTGGGACTTCCATGTGCATCAGCGCTGTATGGACAGGTAGCGCGGCGCCTACTGTTAGCGTGATCCAAGCGTGATAGTAATTGGCCGATCGTCAGCTTTTGGGTGTGAGGTTCTGCAAAATAGGTTGTGCCGTTAGACGCGTGCACCAACGCGTCTGCGCGGCTTCGTAATGCCGCATGCGATGGTGTGAAGAATGAGGCACATTCATGTCCCAGCGATGAAACCACACGTTATCGGGCGTGCACCCAGGAGATGGACACGCGCAATGAGAGAACGAATCGGATGCACGATGAAATGGGTTGGCAAAATGTAAGGCCGGAATTTGAAAATGGTGGACTTACCCATCAGGCGTGAAAGCCACGGAAAGCTCAGAATCTGCGAGCTTGTTTGAGAGATATTCATCACTCTGCCACTTGTTGAGCGCCACGAAGTCCTGGACGTCGCCTGTGGCGTGGGAAAATCATTGTAATTCCCGAAATGCGTTGAGTTTGAATTAAATGAGCGATTCGGAATATTCCGTGGCGGAAGGCACATCAATATATTTATTTATTTAGTGATAGCGGAGCAATATCGTTGAATCAGAAGCTCTCCAGTCATCATGATGGAGAACGCACTGAGAAAGAGAACAGGACGACCGATATGAACCAGACGGGAGAACTCGAGTTCACTTGGCGGTCGGCTCCACGTTTCGGTCGTCGTGCCATTTAGTTCTTTGTCAAACGATTGCAGTCAGATATTTGCAAAAGGGCCTGAGTTAGGCGAGAGCAGTGCGACACAGCCCCGGATCGAGAACCTCGTCAGCTCATGGTGATACAAACCTTGGTAGTCTCTTGAAATCTGGTCGAGGTCAATCATCAACAGTAGACTGGGTGCCTTTGTGCAACAGTTAAAGAAGCAACGAAGATCTCATTCAACGAGAAGCGCCCTTTAGTGAATCTCTTGATCAGTTGCCGTGAGATAACGCACGTGATATCAATGAATGTTCTGGTGACCATTTTCACCCCCTTACTCACTCCTGCTGTGCCTTGTTCCGCAAAGCGATTTGATTTCCTTTAAACCACGAGTGCCTTGTCCCCCCCGATCTTTCTTCCCTCTGGCCCACTATGCGAGGGGCGATGGGAACGACTTCGTCCCCCAACGACCTTGGACAGCTCCCGGTCTATCAGCGCCCGAGTTCTCATGCTTGGGACGTAAAAACTCAGGGTGTAATGGAACAATCCCCCGCCCCCCAAACCTCACATATTGAAGGAACCGAAGCATCTCCCTATCAATATGCCCCTATGGGTCATGATGCCCATCTACCAATCAATCATAGTGATAGGCCTGTGTTAGCGCGCCTACGGACACAATCACATGAAGAAAAGCAACAATCTTCCTTGTGTATGTATCCTGCGGGCGACAATCTTACCCACACTTCCCATCTTACATCGCCGTCATCTTTGCCCCCCCTTCCCACAAGCACTCACCGAACAGCCCCGGTGAGAACCCCCCGACCTCCCCTACCCCCCATCCCCATTCAAACCCACAGCCAGCGAGCATCGTCGGGCTGTCGCCAGGCGCAAACCATTCGCACTCCGTCAATGGATAGGCAATTCTCGAGACGAGACGCTAAGCCCATGGGCGCGCGGGGATTGAGGAAAACCGGCACCGTGTCAGGACCGCATTCCGAAATGTCCGAGGGTATGGCGCGTAAGGAGGCTGAACGATATATGTATCGAGCACCTGCGTGGGGTTCTACGAGCAATTCGACTGTCGAAATTGAGGACGTGAATGTGAGCATGCTTTCAATTACCATGTCTGCTCCTTACTCACCCTTTGATGACATACCACAGGCGCGGGCATCATCCTCAGAGACTCCTCCAGCTCATGTCATCCTACCCTCCTTATATGAAGGGGACTCTCCACAGGAAGAGGCTCCGCCATCGTTTTTGGATTCGAGGCTCGATCCTGTATATTCTCTGGATTCACATTTCTCCGATCTGTCGCTTAATCAGCGCGCCGATACTTCGCGCTTACAAACTCCCAGTATTGTAGAGGAAGATGATGTCGACGACGCCAACGAAGAACAGGAACACGAATACGACGATGAAGATCGCAATGGTGCAGTGCAAGTATTGACCGACAACAGGCCGATCATCGTCAACACACACTCTGCTCCAGCGATTCAAGGGAACTTCTCTGTTGATGCTTCGGCGAATGATCCCAATCCAGTGAGGCCGTCTCTAAACCCACATCAACGTTACTCTCTCCCCGTCTCCATGCACCAACCTGCATCCCATAGCCATTCCACTTTCGTCCCCTCAGCGCCACCCAACTTCATGGAGGAGGGCCCACGCATCCTCCCCCCTGCAGGACTGTTTGATCACAAAATGGCCTACGGAAATCAAGATCATCGCTCGGTACCGGTTTCGGCATTTTACAACTCTACGGTCGGAACTTCGATGATGAAGCTCGGCGCTTTTCAGAGTAAACCGACGAGAGATCGGACTGGGGGAATCACGGTTATGCCGGGATCGGATCGAGGGATGACGCCCAGTTTGAATTCGGGTGTGGACCCAATGAGCCCGCCAAGGAGCGCAAGTCCAACTATCTCATTGCGGAGTACAGGGAATAGTACGGGGACTGGAGTCATGGTTGATGGAAGTAATCCTCACTCGCCCGTCAGTGGAGGCACATCAAGCCCCGCTAACTCCACATTGCACGGCAGAACCGCCTCGGCTGTCTTCGGCGGTGTTCCTAGTTTCGGCAGAGGGATGCCAAGTCCTCACACACCACCCAACGCATATCCGCCTGTGCCTAATCGGCAACCTCGTGTACTAGCGCCTCTTGCACCGGGATTTGTGCCTGGGCAAACCCAGCTTGGGGGGAATCAACACCCGAATTTCACAATGTCACCGAATGCCGTCGCGCGCCCCAGTGGGGCTTTACTGCAGGGCCAATTTGGGCAGCAGGGCTTGCCGTACGCCGGACAGAGAAATGCGAATCTTTATGGGCTAGATACGGGATTGGGTCCCTGGGGATGAAGATGCTCTATTGGGCCCACCATTTTTGTTTACCCTCACCCCCACCCCACATGAGAGCGGGGATGGAACTATCCGTCTCATTACCACTCAAAAATCCCTTCCCTTTACCCCAAATTCGGTTATGATTCACACATCACTAGACTCAGTTTCACAGAGAATACCTACGTTCCAATCAGCTTATCTATTATAGGCCATACCCATGCCCCCATGCCCACCTCTTATGACAATCTCAAAAGTCGTATGCCCCACTTCAGCTTTTGTGTCCTAATTAGTCCATCACATGCTTCCCTCTTCTCTTACTCGTCGCCCTGCTCCAGTTTGTCCGGATTCTTCACGTCCCATCTGCTCTCATCCCTTTGCTCTCGGCTCTCGTTCACTTGCTTTATTCACGACCGTGGTTACGATATTCCACCCTACTTACGTTTGATGGGCTGCCTGGATTGTTTGGTTCCGCGTCTCAATTTTCATCTTTGGGTACTCTGATTTCCATTCCACCTTTTTTTTTCCTTTTTTTCTTCATCTCATTCTGCGCAATATCTCCCCCTTTTCTGATTCTGTCTTTGAGCCCCAGGATGAGCTCAGCTTCACGTTTACACATTTCTCAACCACCCTGCATGTACAGTGTAACGGTATTTTATCTTTGTGCTTCTTTTCAATGTTGTACGGTACTCTTTGGTGTTTGTCAGGTCTTGGGCGATCAATAAATACTAAAAATGGGCTTCTCATGACGATGGGTTCCTTAGCCAGATCACCTTAATGGCCGGTGTTCGCTACACCGTTGACGCCAGTTTGTCCATTCGCGAACTCCATCACCACCACCGATTATGGACCAGTCCTTATATCAGTACAAGACTCGATCTAGGAATTGGATGGCTTGTTGTTGTTGTTGTTTATTCTGGATATTTATCCTGCAAACTTTAGGCTGCTCGTGAGAGCGCCGAGGGCAGGGGTCGGAATAAATACACGAAAATAAAGTGAGAAAATAATAATCTAAGTCCGATTCGAGTGCTCTCATGCGTTCTGACGAGGTTAACTCCGAATGCTGCTCCACTTTTGAGGAATTGGATGGCTTCGGGTGATCAGGCGGTTTGCGAGTTGATTTAAAATTACTGGCGACGAGGAATGAGGGAGAGGTGTTCCAAAATTTATACACGATCAACGCTCAGTGAAGAGGTTATCCTGAAAGGAACAACGGACAAAAACAAGAGCTCTGTCAAAGCTCCCCGCCACTTATTCATTACCCTCTCGATGTAACTAGACTTCAATGCCGCTACGACGTGAGCAAGCGTGGGAAATTCTAGGGGAGTCGCCGCACCGATGGCCACCAGGGGCAGACGAAGGCAGCAGGTACGTTGCGCGCAAACTCTCAGTTCGGAGGATGCGAAAGGAAGTGAACTTTTTTCTGGCTCTATAGACAGCGAAGGGGAATCAGACTACTTTGTCGTCATTTTATGGTGGCAATAAATCGAGGTCTCAACAAGTCGCGTCCAATGATTCTTTGGATGGTGCCCAAATTGCCGAAGAGTCGCCTTTACTTACTGGAGACCCGAATGTAACGAGTGGGGAACGCGTTGGGGGAGAGCGTGTTGGCAGTGAGGACGATGTCCCTTCGCCGCCGTCTGGTGCGCTCGTGAACAGCGTCCGTATGATTTTTGTGCTCATCACTGCGTTGTTCCCCAATTGTCAGCACCACATTCGGGACTCCCCTCCATAGAGAAGAAGATCCATTTTCGTTCCGGAAGACGGCTCGTGTCTCTCTTGGATTTGCCTGTTCTTGAACTACCTAGCAGCTGCCGGCGCGTCGGTGGTGCTGAGAAAATCCAAATTCTGAAGCCACAGCAGTCGAAGGTTGCAGGGCCTCTTGACCGTTTGTTTAGGGACACTTCCGGGTCGGCCAGAGAGTCCTTCAAAGAGTCGGCGCCTGATCCTCTTCCGGACATTCGGCCTTCTATACCTGAAGTCCGTTCACCAGCGCCGGCGCGTCAGGAGAGCTATTCCCGAGAAGTCTCCATCCTCGAAGTAGACCCGCCCAAATCCTCTCCATTTGAGGTGAGTTGGCCGAAAGAAAGATGTTGACAGCTAATGATTTCTTTCAGAGGCCAATCACCATTTCGGATTCTCCTCCCCCGTCGATAAGGCAAACAACGAGGACCACTCATCCTTTCTTTCTGCCAAAGAAGTCAAAGTCTTTAGCTAACGAAGTGATCCACGCTGAGGATGATTCCCTACAGCTGGTGCAAACGACGTGTGCACCGAAAGATGATGCCATCGACCTCACGCAATCCCCAGTCAAGTCTTTGTCGCGCTCTGAACAGAAACTCCCCCGTTTTAAGGCGCGCTTCGCACCGAGGGAAGCACCTTGGCCTTGTCCAGGTATGCAGCACATACAGTCATTAAGCACAAACCCCCTGTCTGCGATGGCATGCCCATTCCCTCCAAGACATATCCAAAAGCATGACTCAGTCCCTTCTCCACCCTTCACTTTCCCCTCATCCAATCTTACCCCACCACCCAGTCCTCAAACACCACTTCACTTGGAGCATCGACCCCCTTCGAATTCAATACCGGATGAACATCTCATGCACCCAGCTTTATCCCGTTTGAGAGCTTGCCGTTCCGAATCTTGGCAATTCGCGCATGCGAGTCAACAATGGGTGGACAAGTATAAACCGAATCGTGCTAATCAAGTCCTCGGCAATGAACTCAATGCTCAGTATATCAAAGAGTGGTTGCTAGCATTGCGAGTCACGTCTCAAGGAGGGTCGTCTTCCCGGGGTAAACGACCGAGAACGACCATCCGTCAAGCAGTCGACAAGGTCCAAGAGCGCGCAAAGAAAAGACGAAAGAAGCATAGTGATGCATATGGCGATGAGGATTGGATTGTGGATACGGACGGGGAAGAAGATATCCCTCAAAGTGATATAGACTCTTTCCGGGAAGATTCATATTTATCGTCCCCAGTCCGTTCTACCCCCGGTCCACGCGCATCTCGACAACCACCGGAATTATCTCCCACGTTTGACTTCTCGACAAATCTTTCTAGCGCGCTTCTCCTCACAGGCCCTCATGGCTCTGGGAAGACGGCAGCTGTCTATGCCTGCGCTCAGGAGCTGGGGTGGGAGGTTTTCGAGGTCAACCCCGGCACTGGCAAGCGGAGCGGTTCGCTACTTGCAAGCTTCGCCGAGGGAGTTGAAAAGAACCATACCCTAAAATCCTCAAATACTCGTCAAACTGACTGTGCATCTGAGGTTGAAACGAAGAAAGGTGCTTTGGATGCTTTCTTCGGGGGAACGAGATGGAAAGCTGATAGAACTGTCACATCAAAGACGATTGCGCCGAGTCCGACTGATCTCGAAGCAAGTTCGGATGGTGTCGACACCATTAACATCCTAGATAGTTGCTCTGACACTGGCAGCGTTGTTCTGGACCTCCAACCTTCTGAACTTTTGGAATCACTTGCACAAGCTGACTCTGACCCCAAGGACGCAAACCAGTCCATAATACTTCTGGAGGAAGTAGATGTCCTGTTTCAAGGGGAAGGGAATTTTTGGACTGCTGTTGTCAACGTTATACGCGAATCAAGACGCCCAGTAATCTTGACTTGCAATGATCCTTCCCTCGTTCCGGACTTGGAACTTCCACTCCAAATGACACTTTTCTTCATTCCTTGTCCCGTGGACCTTGCCACTTCGTATCTCCGATTCCTCGTACAAATCGAAAGCGAGGATGACGTATTGCCGGATTCCGAGGTGTTGAAGCACCTGTATGACGATACCAAAGCAAAGAGGCTACCCTTCAATTGGCCTGATCAGCCTTTGCATCCTGTGCCTACAGATGCACCCGTTCAGCCAGACTTGAGAAAGGCGATTATGAATGCGCAGTTCCTTTGCAACATAGCCTTTCCCCACGACTTGCCGTCTGACACCGACTACCTGGATTTATTCCATGGAACATTTAGTCCCCGTAATTCCGTTATCAATGGCGCGGGCGCTAGTCGACAACATCCCAACTGCCACGAAACGCTCAAATCTTTATCTGTGCTATCCGAGGCTGTATCTCTCAGCGATTGCATCGGCCGTCGTCCAGCAGACCAGCTTGAAGTGAGTGTCCAAATGGTGCTATCGTACAAGTTAAATGTTATGCTCATCTCACCGACATTAAGGCATGGGACATTGATTGTTATGGCCTGACACATGATTCAAATCCGGAGAGCCAACAATACAACGCAGAGCATGCTTTCGGACGTTTCCAGTTGTCGAAGCCGCCATACCCAGAAACAGCCATCACCATTCCCATTCACTATCATACCGAGAGAATGGCAGCCACGCTACTTGCCGACGCGACAGACATTGCCTTGCGTTTAGACCCGACAATGCTAGGTTCTAAAACCTGTGGCAAGCACCTAGACCGATTACTCTGGAGCCGGACACTGGAGCTTGCTGATTCACGAGCAGAATACCAGGCGCAAATCTTGCCTAGTATGGAAAAACTCCTTGATTTATCATGCCCCTTACTTCCCCGCCCTGAGATATTCCTCGATTACATCCCATGTCTTCGGTGGATGGTACGCATCGAAGATGAAGAAAAGGCGGAGGAGGCACGAACGCTTGCTTTAGGCCAGGAGGCAAATAAGACGGTGGGTGGAAGGGTTACAAGGAACAGCCGGGCTGCTTCTGGGCCTATTACGCAAAGCAAAAAGTTCTTCGTGCGGTTGATCCCGGTCAGCGAGGATCAACTACGGGCCTTACGAAATAGTGGGTTTAGATTGGACCTCACGTAGTTACAGTCTATTTTTATTCTCTTGAGATGGTTCATATATTGGATAACCAATTGTTGGCGAGGAACATGCATTGAAATTCGCACATTTTGGCGCGCGCTCTTTCTAATCGCGTGATCTCGAGGACTAAGTTCTCATCATGCGAAGTCACCACACCCTGAAGCTGTTGCAGAGGCCTAAAAGCCCGCTGGCGTGTGTGCACTGGATTGGAGAGAGAGCGTCACATTCCACATCAAGTTGGGAAGTCAACCCGCCCTCGGATCCCGGTTTACAGTTCTACCGGAATCGTCAGCTGGAGTTGTTCGCAGGGAGAGAGACTAAGCGGCTTTCTCTTCGACAGTTGGTATGGATTTGACTTTCCCATGAATCATATACGTTTACTCGAACTTTGGCACTTGTGATCCGATCACGAATACAGGTATTCTTTGGACGAGCCATGGATCCCGAGCGCCTCCTCAAAGTAAATGCACGATTGACTCGGTGGTACCGAATCTATGTCTTCTGATGAAACGAACCACTTGTGCTAGAGCGCAAACTATGTCCGACAGGAACTGCCTGTCCGTCTCGCTCACCGCATTCGTGACATGCAAGCCTTGCCGTAAGCACGTGTGGAAATCATTCTTCGCCGCAGATATTGACAGCGCCGCAGATTTGTAGTAGTGACCCAAGATTCTGTCGCTCAAGTCTACGAGGTATGCTGAAATTCACCAGATGGAATGGGCCAATCCTCACATAGATGGTTTCAGCTGTACTGGGACGCGTTTGAGAGGTCAGAATTACGCGTTCGTCAGAAGAGAGTTGTATACAACGGTCTCATCAGGTTCCGTCGATTCCCGCCAGTCAATGACCTGAGCCAAAATGAAAAGTTTTGCGCTCTGTTGAGGACACTGTTGGATGCTCAGTAGGTTATCCACTGTCCCTATTTAGGGGAGTAATCTAAACCCCATGCGGACTCCAGCGCTGGCGTGATACCCCGCCTCTCTCTAGGATTATCTCTTTCATCGCATCATCTCTCTCCAGATCACCTCGATTCCTTCATGAGAAGAATGCTCGTTTCGCGCATATCACGGCGAGTTCTCGCGGAGCACCACATTGCTCTTACCGAGTCCCTGGAGGGAAGTACAAGTGAAAATTCAAGGATGGGAAGCCCGCCTGGCGATCACGTAGGAATAATCTATACCAACCTTAGTGTGCGGAATAGCATCGACCACTGTGTGTCACTGCTCAGAAATGTGCATGAGGCAGAAGTGGCGAATGTAGACAACGTCATTGACTTCCCAGACGTGATCGTTGACGGACACATCGATGCACGGTTCTCTTACATAAAGGTATCTTCAGGTAAGATCGCAATGAGCACAGCTAAATTGACGTTCTACAGGAACATTTGGACTATGTCATCTTTGAACTTCTGAACAATGTAAGTTTATGGTTGTAACAGAATTGCGATCTAATGCCTATACCAGGCCATTCGGGCAACGCGCACCTTCAAGTATCCCTCCGACCGGGAATCACGACAACGCAACGTCCGCGTAACAATAGTAGCATCAACTGATGACATCAGCCTAAGAATTTCGGATAATGGTAAGTTACTCCTCAAGGGTTCGAAGGAGTTACTCATTTTTTTCAGGTGGTGGCCTCTCAACGCCGGACCCAACAAGTCTATATTCATTCTCTCACTTGCGTAATGCTGCACGCCTTGAAAGCGAGCGACTCGGCGCTTTGAGAGATGCCGTGGATGCTAGTTCGCATCTGAAGAGAGGCATAGTGGGGACAATTGGGGAACAACTGAAGCGGTTACTCCCAGTAGATAAGGCGGCTCAGATTCTAGCTCAGCACGGAGGATTAGGCGCGGCGGGGCTCGGAACTGGTGCCACCGAAGCAAAGCGCCTGGAATCCAGTCACGATCGGGGGCGTGAGCGGATAGGGCTTGGCTTGCCAATGAGCAACATATATGCAACTTATTTTGGTCAGTAGTAATGGGCTCTGATTTTACGGTAGTCACTCAACATCCCAATGCAGGGGGGTCATTGTCGCTTACATCACTAGATGGATGGGGTAGGTACTCCCACGAGACTGTGATTCTTCGCATTAATTCTCCATTAACAGGTACAGATGTGTACCTTCGACTACCAAAACTTGTGTGCAGAGTCCATTGAGGCGGTGAAGTAAATGCTGACGTTCTGACAGGGCACCAATCTTGAAGGGGTAGAGGTGTGAAGCAGGAAAGAATCTTATTCACAACCTACTTGCTCAGTCATAACCTAGTTACCGAAGCTGCCTCTGAACCAGGAAAGGGATGGGTTTTTTTAGAATAGCCTTTTAACGCAGCGATGCACGTCCTCAAAAGGGGGTTCACCCTCTACTCAACCTAGTGGCATGTTGGCTTCGATCCTGCTCATGTCCCTATGTTCGCATCAACAAGCCCCCATGTGCAACGATGCTGATAACTCTACTCCACGAAATCTGGCTACCACCTTTGGAAGCCCGGTTTCCAGCCGTGCCGTGCACTGAGGGGAAACGCGGCGTTGTAAACAAGCGATAAAAGGGTGTCCTACCCCACGAACAAAATGTTTCAAGCACTATCTTCCTCCTTTGATCCAACAAGAAGGTACCTATCAATACATACATAACAATGAACAGGACGCCAACCACATCAATCCACAAATTCCATCCAGTTCGAACGGAGTACACTGTTAATATTTTGCATATTACATAAATTTCGAATCACTTCAGCCGATCGGTTAACAATATCGATAGAGGTGCACCGAGAGTCTGGAGGCTTGCTGACGAACGCGCAGAAAAGCCCCCCATAGATTATATATGATCAATACTACAAGTGTGACGCTTCGAGTCTGTACAATTCTGAACGTGTCCAGAACCGGGTACTTTGAGCTCGTGCATGCCCACCATTCGTGACAGGCGGCATAGGCCATCCAACCTCACCAATCCCGCGTCTCAAGCACGGAGAATTGGAGCTAACTCCAATTATCCCGACTCACAAGCACAAAATGCATTACAGGTATCGAAGTGAAGAGGAGACCTTCCCGTAAATGGACGCAGCTTGCACGTAAGTCGCGGCAACCAAGCTTCGATTGTCTAATCCCCCAATCCATGGCATCCTAAAGCGCACCAGCCGCGCACAGTGAATCTAGCTCGCTACAAAATTGGAAAATCGTTGCAATCTCCATGCTTATTCTTGAGCCTCAAATTCGTCTGCAATCACGCAACTCCGGGCCTCCATACAGAACTAGCGAGCCTTCGTGTCTACATATGCGGCGCAGGGCTGAACCTAGCGAGGCACTAACAGGCAGGTACGATAGGCTCGAGGACCGGTAATCAAAGGAATAGATGGTGCGGCGCGTTCTCACAAGCTTGGACAAGCCTTAAGCAACTGTTCGACCAGACATCGTTGAGATGAAGCAGGCAGCGGGTTGCAGGCTTTGGCGGCTAGCCTCTATCAACGCTACAGATCACTGTAGAGGGTCTGGACACAAACACACTTTATATTTCAGAGGTCGGGTCCAGCCTAGAAATGGCGGAAGCTGCCAGTTGAATCGGCTGCCTATTTAGATGCGTGTCAAAGGTTGCCCAACACACACACTATGTACGTATATCTGCACACATGCCTTTCTATGTTTAACCCTCTTACTTAGGGCAGGCCGATATTCAAGTACACGGTTACCCGTGCAATGTGGCTACTCCGCAACCCCAACGTTTCGGTTCACCTCCATCCTCGAGCATAGTCGCGTTGGCCTGGTTGCACGGCCATCCAGAATTCGCGTAACACCCAAAATAATAACTTTTCAGAAGCAAACAAGTTTACTCTTCTCATGGTCCCCACATCGCGATTTTTCTCAGCTCCGGAAGAATGACCCCAGCGACTTGGCCTCGCAGCCAGTTGTATCTGGGAGATCTCATTCAAGGACTGAGCAGAATGACAGCCCATCATCACTAAGCTCTTCCGAAACAACTGGCCTGCCTCTTCGGGAAAACATCTACACACTCCCAAATATCATTACAGCATCCAGAATCCTAGCATGCCCCATCCTTGGCTGGTCCATCCTGCAAGGGGACTTCAGGAATGCAACATTGCTTCTTGCTTATGCTGGTGTCTCTGACTGGGTACCAATTCCATCTGACGGCCGTCGCATTGAATGCCTGATCCTGGACTTGCACAGGTCGATGGATACTTAGCGCGGAAATACAACATGCATACCGTCCTTGGCACCATTCTTGATCCAGCCGCGGACAAAATTCTCATGACTACCCTTGTTGTTACGCTTGCCATCAAAGGACTGCTGTCAGGTGCGACTTCTGGAAGGAGGGCTTGAGGATTATCCTCACGTCAATTGTCTATAGTTCCCCTGGCCGCCATCATCTTGGGACGAGACTTAGCGCTCAGTATATCTGCGTTTTACATTCGATATCAATCGCTTCCTCCTCCAGTATGTTCCGTCCTGCTCCAACTCGCCACTCTAAGTGGATTGTTCCCTTTCAGAAAACTTTCATGCGTTACTGGGACTTCAGTATCCCTTCTGCCGAAGTTAGACCAACGATGATCAGCAAAGTAAGGGAGTCTCCAGGCGTCTCAGGGGTTTCCTGATGTTTTCTCTTTCAAGGTGAACACGGGTCTCCAACTTGCTCTTATGGCTGCCCTGACTATGAGTCCATTGTGGCCCACTGATATATCGATGCCATTGAGGATATTCGAGTATGCTGTTCTTTGCCCTCCTGCAAGCAAATTAGTACTCATAATCACTATAAGGTGGATTGTCGCTGGAACGACAGTTTGGAGTGGTGCTGGTTATCTATGGGCTAGGGACGGCTTCCGATATGTTGCTCGGAAGTCCATAACGAAAACCAGCTCAAAACCATAAAATTGTACTACAAAAGCAGACGTACTACATGTACTAATACAAATAAATTAATTACAATCCACATGTGAGGAATGCGACGAAATCATTGATATGATAAATACTGCCAAGGTTCTCAAGATTTTTGGGTCGCTCTCCGTTTTCTGACTTCTTCCAGCGCCCCTTGGACTGCTTGCTTGGAAGCGACATTGAGCAGCCAAGCTTCCCGTGCGGTTCTAAGCATAGTGTGAGTGTTCGGATACCAATGTCGAATCGGAAGCCTACTTCGTTCTATGCACGAAAATCACAGCCATAACAATGGTTCGAAGGGATTTATTCGTCCTTTTCGGAGGAGGGAAGCCGAGACGTGCTATCGATGCAAGGATACTCCTTTCACTAAATTCATCTGTGGTTAGTTCCATCTCTGACAATAGGTCAATTAATTAGCCGTACCCTACGTTGTGAGCCTCAAGAACCTTCAAGAGGTACACTTTCTGATATCCAAGATCCAACCTAAATGCATGTTCTCGTGTGCATCTTGCCTTCAGGTATCGAATTTGGAGCATCAACCCTTTGCACTCTTTATTGTGCACAAGCTTCAACTTCTCCAATGCCTCAGAGTCGCTAAATCATCACCTTAGAGGACCTGCTTCGCACAAATAAAACGCACTCACAGTGCTGAAGCAGTTCGGCTTTCCTCGACTTCCCGGACCTTCCGCTGCATTTCAACAAGTTGACTGTGCATCTGCCGAACGTGAGCTTGTGCCCTCTCAATGGTGAGCTTGTCCTCATGAGTCTTCGCCAACAGCCCAGCCCGTTCATTTTTAAGCAGGGCCACATCCTTTCGGATATTCTCTGCGTCTCTGCGAACTCTCTTGAGATCTGCTTCCAAAGTGGTTATTGTTCGCGCCACTTCCATACGCTCTTTTGCTAAGCGATTTTTCTCTAGTTCGGCGTCGTGCAATTCAACAGCTTGTTCCTGTAGCTGAAGTCGGAGGTCTTCAACCTCGGTTGCCCGGAGGTCGAGCTGGTGTCTGCGATCATTGTGTGCAGCTTGAGACTTGGACAACTGGTTTCGTATTGCTTCGGTGTCCTAACGGAGCCCATAAGCAAGGTATCATGCTGGCAGTTAGATGACTTACTTCAGTGGCTTTGGTAAACTTCCGCTGGAGCTCTGCCTGTTCTGCGATGAGTGTATCCCGTTCACTGCGTAAAGTATCGAGTAGGGCTTGGTTTCCTGAGAACTTTTTAGTCAGCTCTTGGATCTTCTCCTCTGCACCAGATTGTTCTAATGCCAAGTATCAGCAGCTGGTACAAAGCAGTACAAAGTATAAACAGACCCCGAAGTTCGGACTCCAATTTTCGGCTAACGCGCTTGGCCTTCTGAAGCTCCTCGCGAACATCAGTCATATGCTAGGTATGCCATGAATAAAGATGGACTTAATGGGTCAAAAGGTGGGGACTTACAGCCTCGGTCTGACTCAGTTTGGCCACGATATTTGCTTTTTCCCTCTCTACGCGCTTCTGTTCCGTGTTGATGGAACGAAGCTTATTCCTCTCCTCGCGAAGGTCGCTTTCTATTGCCAAAATCGACTTCCGTGCACGATCCAATTCCTATTCTCAAGTCAACAGGCAACATATTCAGAAGAAATGAGTAAAACCGACCATTTGTAGCATTTCTTTCTCGCGCTCAGATTCATTCTGAATCCTCTTGGCATCCTCATTGGCTTTTCGACGCTCCTGCTCCAGCTTACCCGACTCGACTTTGATCTCTGCATTGAGGCGGCTTGCTGCATCTCGAAGAACAGTTTTCTCATTGATATGTGCCTGCTTCTCTGCCGCCCACTGCGATCTGAGGGTAGTCAATTCATGATTCACTTGCTCCAGTGCCTCTCGCAAGTGGATGCGCGACTTGTCAGGGTCATCAGTGGTCATATCCGCATCAACGAAGCTGAAACGATTTTCGGTGGGCGAACCTCAATAACACAATTGGGGGGCTTACCTTGCCGAAGGATTGGAAGCCAAGACCAACAAATTAGAAGCATCAAATCGACGGCCACATTGTCCACATTTACACCGCTGCAAACGCTTACGGATACGATCTTCACTTCGTTTACAAGCGCCCACTTCTTTCTCCAGCTCGTCAACTCTCCCTCGAGACGCTTGGAGGGCTTCGGTAAGCTTAACGACGCTCAGGCCTGCTTCACCAAGTTCGTTGACCATTTGGTCGAGATTTTCGCCTGCTTCGTCAAGTTGCTCATGCAGCTCCTGAATGCGGGCGACATACGGCTGGATGTCCACGCTCCCTGAGATCGAAGCATTTTGAAGCCATGAGAGCTGTATGGGGAACTGAGCGAAATGATACTGCACAGTATGATGAGGGCTTACGTCTCTAAGCGCTCCTCCGGGCGTCCTTGGTGTCTTCAACAACGACGGCGTAGTCCACCCCCGCATCGTCCCAAAGCTTGCATTCCCTTTCATAGGCGTGCGAGTATTGGGGTTCGTCGATGCTATATCCTGAAGTGCGCTTTGCAAAGTAGTGACTTGCTCCTGCAACTCTTTGTTATCCGCTTCCAGGGCCTCGATGCGCATCGTCTTGGCTTTCTTGATAGCTTCAAGCGCAGGCGATTCTTTCATAGCATGCTCGAGTCGGCCAATTTCACGTTCGGCGTCCTCCAGCTGGGCTTCGAGGTCCGAGACGATGCGCTCGTGCTCTGCTTGGGAGACAGGAAGGGTTCCTTCTGCGACAGTTGTGGACGATCCAGATGTCGATGAGACGTCCTCCGCCTCATGACTGTCCGAAGGATTCCCAAGCTTGGCTCGGGCATGGGCAGCCTCAAGTTGAGCCTGTTCACGTTCCTTTGAAAGAAACTCGACCTTCCTGCGATACACCCGTATATCTTCATCCGCGATCTGAAGTTTCTCCTCACTTTCCTTGAGAGCTGCCTCCATCTGACGAACCTGTTCCTCCATTAAAGCCTCGTGAGACATCGCATTGGCAAGGTCATTGTCCATCGCTTGGATCTCCTGGTCCTGCTGTTCAAAAAGCATTTGTCTTTCCGCCAGCTTGGCTTCCAGAGCGATCAGCTTCTTGCGATCTTCGGAAGTACGAATCTCGCCCTCTTCCTGTAAGCGTTTGACGTTAGCCCTCTCGTTCGCGAGGTTGTCCTCCAGCCTCTCGACATCCCCCTCAAGCTTCGCAGCAGAACTACCTAGAATTACGACTTGCTCCTTTAGATCATTCGCCTCGCGCGTCGCCTTGACCAACTCCACTTCAACCTTCGTCTTCGCGTCCCTCAGTGCTTCAGCATTCTCCTCGGCTTCACGCACTCGCTCGGCTTCATGCCCTTCCTTGACCAGTCTCGTGCGCAGCGACTTCACCTGCTCCTCCGTGTTATCTAGTTTGGCTTGCATTTCATTGATGATGGCCTCTGCCCCTTCCGTAAGCTCCTTCGCACTCTTTGCGTGCAGTTCGGTGCGTCGCTTGAGTTCTTCCTCAGCCTTCTTGACACGCAACTCTAATGATTCGACTTGTTTTTCTTGATTCTCGTCACGTTTGCGGAACTCCTTCGCCATCTCATCCATCTTCTCCACTTCATCCCTTAGTTCATCGCGCTCTGCCTGCATTTGAGCCAAGTCCTCTTGGAGTGCTTGCACAATGTCAGACAGAACCTTGGCGGATTTTGGGGATGCGCTCTCGCCTCGTACGTCTTGTTGCTGCCCAAGAAGTCCCTGGAGACGTTTGTTCTCCTCGCTCAAGTGTTTATTCAGCCCATGCAGGTATGTGTTGAGCTTGAGATGATTAAATTTAGCCCCTATGTCGGTCGTAGGGTCGAAAGATGCATTGGCTCGGGCATGTGTGGCCAGATCGTGCGAAGACGCGGTGGAGATAAAGGATGTGTCTTTCTCTGCCAAGCCCGGTGTGTACACTTGTGAAAGTGGGTGTGAAAGCCGTGGCTTCGCTCGAGGATGCGGTGTAGGTGCTGCGAAACGAGGTCTATTGGTTGTTTGGACGAGCGACATCAGAAAAGACCTGTGTCGGTCGGCTGGGGTGATAGCAGGGTGGTAAGGCGCGAGGATCTTGGCACTTGGGGTAGAAGTGGGCAGCGAATGAGGGACTGCAGGGGAGTCAGTGATATCTTGAGATTCAGTTGATGACTGGGGAGAAGGGGTTTTGTGATCACGAAGAATGCCTTAGGCGCGATTTGTCAGTGGGGGGAACCAATGATAATCAAGAGCTCACCTTTGAGGGGTTGACGAGTTGTGGAAGGTTTTGCTGAATGGTGCCCTCGCACGTCGGAGCCTCCTTCCCCCAATTCTCCAGCTTCAGTGTCATTTTCAACAGCAGGTGATGGAGGAAGCTCGATGTCTGCTGCATGGAGACGCGAGCTTACCGCACGAGGCATTGGCGTTTCGGGAATATCTTCGCTCCGCGAACGGGAGAAAGACCTTGAAGGCGCAGAAACCTCAGACAAGTCATCCCGGAAGGAAACGGCATGCCGTGGTTTAGGAATTGGCGTAGCTTCAATGTCTTCATTGTGTGCTGAGTTTGGGGTAGCTGAAGGTGACGCGGAGGTCTGTACCGAGTTACTAGACAACGAGCTTGGAGTGTTGAGAAAATCCTCGCGGAGACGTGGCATGGGTCTTCGTTTGGATACGTAGATGGAGTTGCGTAAAGGACTCGAAGGGGTCGACTCAACCTGGTATGATTTGAGAATCAGAAGCAGCGAGTGACAGACCAATGCTCACTTCAACTTCTGGTACGGGACTTGGAGACTTGTGCACCGATGATAAACTGACAGACTCAAGCGCGTCTTCCAGGGATAGATTCTGCTCCCCAGGCAAACCCAGTATTGATCCTAACGAGAGATCCATGCTTTCCTCCATGAGACTTGGTCCGTCGATAACAAGAGATGCAATGTCTTGAGCAGATGAAGCAGGGTCAATTCTGCTGATCTCAAAAGACTCTTCACGAAGTTCACTTCGCTTCATGACAGCTGTGCCACTGGACAGTATGGATGCTGCGAATCTTTCATTAGACGAGATTGTAACACCAGTGTAGCGCGAAGCGCGTAATTGAGATAATCCAGCAGGTGTATGTTGAGAAGGACCAGCCATGAGTGTTGTTTCTCTCGAAACGACCTCAGCAAAGGGTGAAATTGAAAGACTAGTGGATGAATCGTTCATTCCAGAATGCTCAAACATCTCCAATTCGGGAAGTGAAGGGAGTTCTACATCGTCAGCGGCTTCAAGACGACGCATGACACGCGAAGGTGTCTCGTAAGGGAATGGGTTCATCGCGTCCGACGCGAAAGGGTCGAGGTCTTGAATTGTTTTGTTGAACAGTGTTGAGCCGAGTTTGGAGTTATTTAGAGCCGGAGATACGGATCCAGTTTTTCCTCGTGACTCTTCGGAGCTTATATTCATTTGTTGAATCCCGGTCAGTTCCATCTGAAGGAAAACATAAAAAGCCTTGGCCAAGCTCCCCAATCTTTTTCGATTCTCTCTTTTACTCACTCAATAATTATGGTTATTGCTCAGGCTGCTCGCAAGGCAAGCATTCTTATTTAGAAACTGCTCTTTTGAACTGACGTCCGCGTTGCAGACTGTTTGGCAGGTAACGCTTCACATTTCTTCATTTCGAGGTGACGCGGACAACTCCTCACATCAATCCTCCCGTATAGACTTGGTTTGCTGTAGAGGTAAGGACAACGGGAGCTCCTCAACACCATTATAAACCAGACAAATCATCTCTTCGCTCTAGGCTATCCCAATCTACGCTGTCGTAGGTCTCGCTTGCGGCGGCGCTGGCTGGTACGTGTCCCGCTTGGCCCGCCACCCCGACGGTGAGATAGCATCCTTCTTATCCCTCTTACCAATTTCCTGATGTTATCCACCTCTCCTGCCGAATTTAGTCGTCTGGGACCGCAAGAACAACCCGACTCCTTGGAACGATGTTACGCCGAACATGAACACCAAATTGATGGATCACAGTGGAACACTTTCCGACAGGTACGCTTGTTCTCGCCAATTCTAGTACTGGGAACGAAGTCTAAAACTCCAATTCAATTAGCTGGGTTCGTCGCCGCTTGTAAACCGTTTCTTCACTATCAAACGACTGCAAGTCTGTGTTTCATCTTACCTGGATGTTTGGACAAGATCCACCCGTTTCATTCTAGATATCATTTCGCTGTCGCACATGTTTCTTTGCATCGCACGTTTGTACTTCCGGATCCGTTCTGACAGTCTCATAATCACACCGCCTATTTGTCATATTCAACACTAATTCCTTTTCTGAGCCGAGCCTTTGGCTTCCATTATGTAACGTGTGAAAAGTTACCTCATGAAGTGAGACTAGAAAAACAAGAGGCCCCAGGATCGTCACCACCAAATAGTTACGTACAACCACAAAGTCGAGCATACGGACGTCTTCATCGAGTTCGGATAATGCCTGCTGCAACCAGTTTCTGAATCTTTTCGCGAACGATAGGGTTCTTCATATGATCTTGAAGTGCCTTGGGATCCTGTTGCGCCTGCTGCAAGATCTACACGTACAACAATAACATCAAGGGTACAATGTGCCAGAAGCCGGCGGGGTCAAAAAACCCACCTGCTGCATGATAGGGTCTTGCATGATAGAAGCCACCTCCGGATCTCTCATCGCCCGCTGAAGCGTCTCCTCTTCAGTCTCGCCTTCGCGCTGGGTATATATCGCTATCGAAATCTTCTGCAGCTCCTGCTCGATTTCACGGACGTGCTTGTGTTCGGTGTCAGCATCGGCTGCCTGTCATGTCCCAATTGAGTCCTTGAGCAAGGAATTAACAGTTTAAATGATGAACATACTTTGTGGCAGGCCTCCATAGCTTTAGTGTACTCACGCATGCCATACAGGACGGTTGCTTTTCGAATGTGTCCCTTGACTGATTCGTTGGTCGCCATGTCAGATAGGTGGCGAATGCGACAAGAACGATATACAGACCAAAAGCAGGGTCAATTTCAATCGCCTTTTCGGCGTCCTTCAACGCCTCCGGGAGAGCAGCGAGCTTTGTATACGCCGCGGCACGGTTATTGTATGCTTTTGGATCCTCGGGGTCACGCTTAATGGCTTCTGTGTACGACTTGACTGATTCTGCAAAGTCACCAGCCTGGACACACCACATAACATGAGTATGTAGAGAAGTAATGGCTGAATGGACAGGTTACCTTGAAGAGCGCATTACCCTCTTCGCGGGCGACGGCTGATAATTCAGGATTTATGTACGCCTGAAGGTCGCGCTCCCTCTTGAGTTTCTGTGCCTGTGATTCAGAAGATGGGTCAAACAGTACGCTCGTAGGCAAATACAACTACCGACGCACTTCATTCAATTTTCCCAAAATGTCGGGAGTCCGGTGTTCCGCCAGGCTCTTCCCGTAGAACTTGATGGCACTCTCCAAATCATCCAATTTGGCATAAGAAGTCCCTATGCGCCCAAATGCTTTCGCGATCAATCTATAGTCGGCACGTATCTTCGAGAGAATACAGTGAACATGATATTAAGATCCAGAGCTTCCGGAACTCACAGATCTTCCTTCATCAATGGCCTTCTCACAAACCTCGATCGATTTTTGATAATCGCCATCCTCAAAGTGTGCCGCTACGAAGAAAGAATAAGTATACATATGCGGCCAATTCAGAAAAACTCACCGGCTAAATTGGTTAGGAAAGTGATATCTTTGGGCCACTTATCCCAGGCAGCAAGAAAATGCTTTTCTGCATTCTCAAAATCGCGCCTCTTATATGCCGAGTTGCCGAGTTGCTTCTCCTTCAATGCTTCGGCCTTATCCTTCGCCTCTTCGTCATCCTCTCCTGCCCCAGACATGGGTGCATCAACTGGCTCCGATGCGGGCGCCGGAGGAGGCTGGTGTTTGCTAGAAGAGGCGGGTTTGGGAGATGTTGGATGATTAGAGGTGGAGGCAGATGGGGTGGGAGGAACGGGGGACGAAGGCTCGAACCCTTGTGGAACCTCGTCCGAGCCCCCAGGACGGGCAAACCCCTGCATATCAATGCCCATGAGAACACCCATTACTTGTATCATCCGCGGGTCTTTGAATGCACTATAACACAATATTAGCACATAAATACGATCCTTTCTGGGAGGAAGCGCTCACGAGGCTGCCAATTGAGGATTCATTTGGATCGTTTGTAGCTTCAGATCCCACGTCAACAAGAAGAAAGAACATGAATTGCGACCGCGTACCTGAGCTACGAAACCTTGATCGGCGAGAAGAGGGGCAGTCGTGGGGTTCGCTGCCAGCTTAGAAAACAAGTTTGGGTCCTTGAATAATTTCCCAATGCCAATATCTCCAGATTCCGCCTCTACCCGAGTCTTAGACTTACATTATCCGCGAAAAGGGTGTAGGGAGCTTACTTTTCGCGTCTACAACCTCCTTCAAACCTTTCGTCAGGGCCGGTGATGGCGAATCCCCTTCAAGCTTAATACCCTCGTCATATGCAGCTATGGCATCGTCCCACCGTCTAAGGCCATGCAAGGCAGCCCCCTTACGGGAATAACCTTTACTCCAGGAAGGATTGACTCGGATGCACTGGCCAAGAAGTGTTAAATGCTAGTGATGACGTTGGTTGAACACTTACTTCTTCCGCGTCATCCAAAGCCTCCGTCCACTGCTTCTTCCCTGCTTTTGCAGCACTTCGATTGGAGTAGAGAACATGGTTCTTTGGATCGAGGGCGATTGCTTTGGTAAAGAGGTCAATAGCCTCGTCGTACTTCTTCGCAGCAAAAGCCTTGTTTCCCTGGTCTTTGAGTGTGTTTACCTGTTCCGCAGCGCTATCGTTAGACCTCCTCAACCGCAACGATAGAAGTTAGAGGCTCACGTCCGACATCAAGCAGCTCGATGGTTTTCTAGTACTTTCCAAGTGCCGCACTGCCACTGGGTTTTATTCGCTCCCGAAAGGCGAATTCGGAAATCTCCCGCCTGTGGGAAGCAGTTCTACGGCTTTACACTTTAGCCCCACGCACGATGAGTGAGCAGCACACGGCAGCGTCCTCCGAGCAACCTGTGCGGAGAAGGGCACGAAAGGCGATCAATTGTGAACCATGCCGTCTTCACAAGGTATGTCCGTGTCAATCTGGCTCTTTGATACATCGACTGAAATCTAAGGGAAAGCTCAAATGTAACCGAGCGAGACCGTGCAGCGGATGCGTAATGAGGGGCATACAAAGCCAATGCTATGCCGGAGAAGAGGATGCTGGCCCAAAGAGTACTGTTGCGTGAGTAATCTGCACCATCTGTAGCGACGTTGATACATAGACGAGATTGCTCGCCATAGGCCGGATCCTCTAGGAGAGCTCAGTCAAATGCAGCGTTCCATCGCTTCGCTACAAAATTACTACCGAGCTCAAAGGAGCCGCAGAAATACTTCGCCTGAACCTGAAGCCGCTGCTGCGCATGACATGTTATTGAATTCGTTGGAATATGATGGCTACTATGTTGGGGCAACGTGTCCAACAACCCCTCTCTTGAGATACTTCAAGGTATTCTATTATCCCTTCTCCCTTCTGCTGATTACCAGTGTTATGACCCCATTTAGAACTACGACACTGAGACTAACCAATCGCCTATGCGAATGGCCGAACCTGATGAGTTGACCTGTCGAGATCTACTTCCACAACTTCCAAGGTCTGAATTTTCCTCATGCACTGCTGAATAAAGATTTGATAGGTCGAATCCCCTACAGCAAAGAAATTCTTCAACAGCTCGTTGAAATGTACATGACAGCGGGCACATGGATATGGTCTTATCTCGACGAGGTGGAATTAAAGCGCAGAGTTGACCGTTTTGTCGAGGAGGATGAGTTAGATGACATGACCCTCGCGACATTCTTTGCTATCTGCGGGACTGGACTTTATTATACGCCATGGCCGCACAATATCCTCAATGCATTTCCAGAACCTGCCATGGTGAGTTTGCCATTGCGTGTTCCGCTTATCCCTAACATCTCTTACAGGTAACTGGAGATCGCTTCCTAGCTTTGTCCACGGAAGTTCTGGAACGCCGAAACAGTGACTGGATACACCAACCGACTCTGGAGCTTCTTGAGTTGCATCTGCTTATGGCCCACTATTACAGTGGTGCTAAGCGGGGGATTCCGGAGAAGATATATATTCCCTCGCAAGCAAAATGATTGGCATTGCAACAGCCCTGGGACTCCACAGGGATCCTGAGCATTGGTGTATCCCCCCGAAGTTGCTTCCCGTCGGAGGTGGGCCTGGTGGAATGTGTTATCGTTCGAGAGGTAAGTAGTGCATCTGGTCCCAATCTTGGTCACACTCACCGGTTTCGCGAAGATATCACTGCATTCTCTTGGGAAGGCCCCCTTCAATCAGCAATAATTCCTTTGACACCCAGTTCCCCATGCCAGACTTCCAACAACCGGGTCAACTCGCCGCCGATGATTCTATTTTGCCGTATCTCTGTATCTTTCCGAGTGAGTTGCCCTCTTGTTGGAAGATGCGCGATTTGCTGATAATATGAGCTCCAGTACGCCCTTCTCGTTGGTCAGATATTGGAAGACCTGCATTGTGTCAAGCCAATGACGTTTCGAGACCATCAGCGCACATGATCAAGCGCTTTTGGATTGGCAGAAACACCTGGCCATCTGATCTGAGACTTGATGAGTTTGGCATCGCTTACGCGATGTCTCGTAACGCGAGCGAGAATATGGTGCGGCGCGGCGTTCAGTGCATGTATCTTTATGGTAATAACTGTCTGCTTCGTTTGCCCCAAAGTCACTGACCAATCCCGGTCTCAGGGCTGTGCAATCTCACTCGTCTCTGCATCAATCGCCCAACCATAATCACGACAGCTAAAGAAGCCGCAGCCGCTCATGATCGAATGGCCGGTGCAGCAGCCAAACTGGTCGCCTTGCACGCTCGTGCCACACCCGATTACGTCAACAACGCTGTTCTTACGGTCCCTGGTCATCTTGGACACGCCCCTTACAATATCTTCGCCTCTGCCGTATGTCCTTTTCACCTCTGTGACTCTCCATTTCTCATCATAGCTTCTATAATAAGATGTTCTATACTCACCAACTGCTTTCCAACCCTGATCAACCTGGCGCAGCACACTTCCGTTCCAATTTGAGTGAAGCTATCTCAACGTTTGGAAAAGTCCGCGAGATGCCCATCGCGGATCGATGCTTCAAGATTCTTGTCGCTTGTCACCCGCCTCCAGAAACGGACAGTGAGGAGAACCAGCAAGTCAGGCGCCAGCGCATCGCGGCCGTGAGGCGAGTGACGTTCCCGTATGTCAAACTAGCTGATGTTGCGGATATCGAGCATATTTACCCTGTAACGGGTGAAGGTGATATCGCACCAATTACTGCTAAACCAGAACATGAGCAAAGATCCTCTCTCGTTCATTAGCGAGCATTTCCTTGTATTTGTGGTTTTTTTTTATTTATGCGAGGTTGCTAGCCACCAAATGGGGATCCAGGTGAACAGCACCTAGACTTCTTGCGATGTACATACGCAGTATGAACTACATTATGGTATATCAATCGTCGTTACAGCATACTTTTGTTGTGAATTCAAATGCAACTGAATCAACCTTCAATCTTGCTCCACTTCTCAAGGTACGTTATCCGAGCAGAAAGTCCTTTCCTGAGCTGTTGGGCCATGCGATCGGTGGCTCGGGAAGGCCTTCCTTCCGCTCCTCAGTGGCAGCCAACAATACTTGGTCGATGAGGTTGTACGGTAGCCAGGTAAATGATGCTTGTGGAGTATTCACGCGGGCAGGTGCGGCCTGATCAAATTTGGTGAATCCAATGAAGTGGGAGAGTGCAACAGTACACACCCGCTGTACCATGGCAATACTGTAGGAGAGAGCCTGGGCGACTAGGCCATACTTCAATGACATTCGAATTAAATATTCTGGTTGATGATCCTATCCATATCGCCGTTAACATGTGCGCTGGGGTTCCCGTCAACTCATTTGGACTGACCATAAAAAACTTTGATAACCAAGCAGGCACTCTACTAAAAACGATCAAGATCAATAATTTTCTGCAATACGACCTTGTGATAACTCCAATCTCCGTCCATCGAATCGTAGGACTCCAAAGAAAGTCGCAAATACCGCCAAGCTCGTTGAGAGTTTGTGCCCTCCCAGCCCAACACTTGATCAGTAAATAACCAAGGGCATTCGAGTGGATCTCTGCGAGAAAAAGTCAGGCGCCGAGGACCCTGTTCCAAAGGACGATGCTCACATATCATCATCACCTTGTTCTGCTATCCGCATGCATCTCGAAGTCAAAATGCCAAAAATTGACGACATGTCCAGCCGGAATGTCCGTGCGTTGGACATTGCCAGGTCAAATAGTCCTAACTGAACATAGTGCGCAATGATATCCTCTTTCGTCAACGTTCGCACTAGAGCAGCTGTCATCAGCCATTGCGTCAGGGGAACATGTGACAGACCCCTAACCTTGCAAATTAGGAGATTCTCGAGCAAGTCGAAGCTTAGACATCAAAAGTGTATATTCTCGTCTCATCTCAGAGATGGTGACAACCTCAAAGTTGATGCCAGCGGATGCAAAATACTCCTCCGGGATGTGCTGAGACACCTTCACGCGCTGATGTTATGAATTAGATGAGAGACCAGAAATGCGATAATACCAAAACTCACTACACTAGCTTCAGATGGAGGAGCGATATACTCGACCCAGGCATCATCGGTGTCAGCGAGTGATAGGGCGTTTATGGAAGTCAGCAAACTCATCGCTTGCAAAGTACCCATCTCGAGGAAGTCCAGATTCTGTAACAGCTGTATTTCACCCAGACGCCTGCTATGCTGGTACATGGCGGCAGCAGCTAAACCAGCGAGAAATTAACACTTCTGCAAAATAGAAACGAGTGAGACCCACCCCCCGGTAGTCGCCTCTGAAGATGTACCATCCATGTAGCACTTGGGCATAGTCGGGTTTCTGTCGAGGATCCGTATTCCGAGCCTTGAACAGAATTGCCTGTTCCACATCTGCTTGAAACCCAATGAAGTTCAGGCTCAAAAGCCGATTTATCTCGTCATTTTCGCACATAGCGGTAACAAGTTGTCGAACAAACTCGCTTTGCCTATTACAATGGTCACGAAGAGGTCCGCTTTACTGTTGATCCAATACTTACTGTTCATTTGACGGATTTCTGATTATAGTCTCATAAGCATCCTCATAAAGCCCAAGATCGACGTCTGCTTTGAATAGACGTAGCCAAAGATCACTGACTTCGAGTGGATCCGTGCACTCAAGAGCTAACCTCGCAAAACGAGCGACTTGCGCAGCAAGGGAAAATCCGTCAAACACTCCTATCAAATGTCGCCAGTATGAAAACAACGAATCAGGCGATACACCTGCGGGCAAAACTATGCGAAGAAGCTCGTCGTCTATCTGACAAGGTGCCCCAGTGGAGCCTATACAACTCCGGGGTGAGTGCTGATACAAACCCCACGAGTGGGCAGTTTGCTTACCAAAGCAGAACGCTATAGTTTCAAGCAGATCCGCGGCCTCTTCTGCACGCCCAAGGTCCAATAAAGTACGGCCCATTAAATACGCGACTGCTGGCGACCGAGGATACCATTGTGCAACCTCATTGGCGATCCCAGCAAATCCCAGTGTCCAAATTCGATGGATCAGCTGGACCTCTGCTTCTGAGACTTCCGGGGCGGCGAGCACACGTAAAAGGCCTGTGCTGAATAGGTATCTGTGCGCGGCCACTGAAGGAGGGACATGTGAAGGGAATGATAATGAAAGGGACGAGAGAAAGACATGAAGGAGGGAATAGGCGATGGTGTGGCGAGGACGAGAATATCCAGATACAGTCATATTCCGCATAAGCGATGCGACATCATCGTCTGCGAGCCGAGCGGAGGTCGCTTCTGGGTCACCTGCTGGGGAGATCGCGATATGATGCAAGAGTGAGATGCTTTGAACAGCTACGAAGGCCTGGCCCGCAATATGGCGCCATCCGGTCTGTGAATCCCGATCTCGTTCAATGATGAAGGCGAGAAGAGTGAAAAGGGGAAGTATGATGTCATAACGAGCCTTGATAGAGGTAGCGATGAACGATGTCAAAAGAGCGGTTTGCCAGCTGAGCGGTGGCGCATCAATAGACTCGGTCTCCTCATCCTGCTCCAGCTTGACCGTATCCAGACTGACCAGTGCTTGCAAGACCTCAACAATCGCACCTTCAACATCTGAGAAATGCGCAAGTTGGCCATTAACCCATGTCAACGTAGCGGTGGGTACAGCTTTCATTATATCTCCTTGGGAAACTTGGAGCATCAGATCGAGGTAGGAGCTCTTCGGATCCGATCGAACCACATCTAGTATACTCTGATCAAGCCTTGTCGCCTTAGCGCTGCCTAAACTCTCACGAAGAGTATGAGCAATCCGAGACAAGGCGACTGTCCCAGGGATCTGTAGGGCGTTCGTGTTCGTAACAGATTGATGCAGTTGCATAGCCTTATCTGTCTTCACGATTGCGCAAAGCCGTTCACGCTCTATCAAGAGTGGCTCGCCGAAATACGAAACACCAAGCTGAAGGGGCCACCGAGCTTGGCGCTCGATTTCACGGCAACGCGCAAGGAAACCTTCCCAGTCTCTTCGGAGCGTATTCCAATAAGGAACCCAGAGTTGCTCGCCAGTCTGTGGATCGACCACAAGATCGACGGTGCAACCGACAACTGATGCAATTTGCTCCGCAAGAGTCTGGTAGGTTGTTGACAAGATCGGGTGATGAGCCCCAGGGACACTCATGAGAGTCGATGAGTACTGTTGCAGGGCAGCTCTAAGTGTATACTTTGAAAATGAACCGGGTTGGAGTAATGCCCTTAGGTAGGAGTCGGTAAACGAGCCTTGAGGAAGATTCTTTTCTTCTGATCGAGGAGATGGAAAGTACGATTCCCCATCGCAATTCACGGAATTCCATGATGATGCAATTACTTCACCTTCCACATCAAAATCTGTATACTCAACCAGCGCACTCCCAGCATCATCCCAAAGGACCCAGAGCGTGTCGCCGGTGACGATAAAGTCACGAAGCTGTCGATACTGACTTGGTTCAGAACAATTTTTCGACCACAAATATTCCAAACTTCGCTGACCGCCATTATTCTTCTCGGAAAGGCCGTATAAGGAGAAAGAGCCGCCTTGAGTTTGTGGCATGAAAACCAAGATCTGAAGCGCCTCGTCAATTCTGTCACCTTCCTCAGGTGGAATAACCTGCAACAAACGCCTGGGTTCGGGCCCCAATATAGTAGCAGTACGCGAAGAGGATGCCTCACGGACCGAAGAATCTGGGATGAATGCTGGAACACCAATGCTGGCGACGCAGACCCCCGTCTCCCAGACACGAAGGGTTCGATCGCGATGAAGAGAGAAAACAACGAGGGAAGGAGAGGGGTTGGGGACGGTCGCAAACGATATGGTGTGAGAAGACCCTTGTCGGGGGCGAGTAAACGGGATGAGCGATGTCAATGTCAGGGACAACGGCGGTCGAAGAATCGTCTCCTTCCATGCTGGAATGCCAGTGAACATAACATTTATGTGTGGTTAAGGAAAGAACTTACCTGAGAATTCCGAGGCAGATGAAATCCGTACAGCATCCAAGTTCAGAATCCCACCGTCTCTTAACCCAATGAAAATACTTCCTGCCTCCTTCACATGCAAGGGCCCAGTAATGTTTTCGGGTGAATGTTTAAGATGGTATTCGGAGATCCAGTTGCGAGACGCGTAATCGTCCGACCACAGCTTGGGCGTCTGAAAGACCATGCGATAGACAGAACCATCCTCAGTTAGGGCTATGATGTGCACTTCGGGATCATCAAACACAACTGAAGGAGTAGGGAAGAGCCTAGAAGGAAAAGAGAAGCGTGTAGGTGGTGCATCAGTTGATAAGGAAGATAACTCTATCGTTCTTCGCCCATGCAACACGCGCAAAAGAACGTGTGCCTGTGGTTCACAAAGTATTGAACCCTCAGTAGCATGTTCAGGTAGGACATCCGTTGTATCCAGCTGACTCGTTTTTAAAGGCTCTGGAAGACGCTGACTCTGTATCGCCCGAACATTTGCCCTCGAAACAGGTAGTATTGAGGAGATGTGGGCAGTAGCAAGTGTGTAGAACGAGCTCTGCATATTGTTTGCCTGTGTTTGGGACGAGAATGAATGGCCCATTCTATTTATCATTGTTTGATGCCCAGGCTCCGTATTCTATCTTTGGCTATCCCAACCGAGCTGGGCCAGTTCTCATGATTATATAGGACACACCGAGGCGCAAACTGATGGATGGGTCCACAAAATACGGATTCCTGCCCGCCGTGCACACTTGGGGATAAAGGTGTTTTCTGTTCTGAGAAACTATAGTGGTGGGAACAGGGATACGCTGTCCAGGGGCAGCGCCTACACAAGGGCATGATTTGCTGGCACTTGAAGGCTCATTGTGCTCAGCAATTGATCATACCCAAGACAAGATATAGTCACCACGAGCTTTTCGCCACGAGAAATATAGGCAGCCCTACTGGCT